GCCAAAGTAATTAAGTGATATGCGTTTATTTCAATTATTCAGGTTTGTTCGGTCGGTTCAGCTCAAGTTCTTGCAGAAGGCGGAGGCCGAGTTCTTCTCTATAAGGAGGAACTGCCACTTGTATTCCCACTGGTAGGCCGACGCATCCCTGGAGTTGAAAGGTTATATAACCATTGAGAAAGAACGACTTGCCTTTTATCTTACCTTGGAGTCGGCTTTTATCAGTTTATCCCACGGGTCCTTCTCTGGGTAAGACGCTAGCTCCTTCTCATCGTCCTCAGAAACGTTTGTGAATGGTACGACGCCTAAATAGAACCCGTCTCGATTGACATGAACTGTACCGTGGCGATTATTGTACAAACTGAGTTCAGGTGTAGAAAGAAAGTTTACCGGCTGCAAAGTCGAGAAGGTTGAAAATGGCGTTGTAACAGCAACCGGCAAACAGCTTGTTAGGCACTCCCTTTTTCATTGGATACACTGCCTGGAAGGAGTTTGTCTTATCTTTTCTTCGAACAATCGGTCAAGGGAAACTTTCTCACCATTGCAGGGCACAGAAATTGCATCGATATCCTGCGCTATCATTTGTTCGACGAAGTCAGGACCGGTAGTTCTCAATGCTACCGTATGTGTCACGCATTTCTGAATAGATTCCATTGCGTGAGACGAATTGGAGTAAAGTCAGCCATGGATCGAGGACCCTTGATTGGATGGTGGTAGGAGATTGGACCTGTTTTCCTGGGTGGATGAGGAGTCTTATTGGAAGTGCATTTTCGAAGGAGAGTTTTTTGGCCAGGAGAGACGGCATGGGGGGACCGATGTGCTGCAGGTACAGTTTTTAGTCGTACGCACCCCGTTTCTTACTCTGTTTTGCGAGCGATATTAAACTAAATGAAAAACACGCTCCAACCCCTTCAATTTACGACTGAGATTCTCATAGAGTCGTAGTTCTTGTAGTCAGTACTTGTGCTTGCTAGGTCCATAGATACGTCTGCTAGCGCTAGAGAGTCGGGATAGTAAAGGGTTACCACGACTACCGGAGGCCTGCGCGCTAAAAGAAAGTGGCAGCGCGGCACTGTGTTCATATTGCACGCAGTCGCTGCACCGTGCGCCAATCCGCCCTGCGTCTGAAAATCGCTCCGCTTGCGGCTTCCTGTCGGGTAATGGATATGGGCATCAGATGAGTGGACTGAAAACAAGAACACTGCAAACTTCGCAGTTTTCCGTAGCGCTGTTGAGAACTGATTTACACGTGTACAATGATGGAATTTGCGATGAGACGCGGATTCGTATATGTGCAAAGACAGACGCGATTGGACCGCCGACTCCGGTAGAATAGTCCTAAAATCAACGAAGATTTTGATAGAATAATGGTTAGGTTGGGTCGGTTGTTACTGACCTTCTTCAATTTCTTGCTCAGATATCGTCCCCCATCGGCAGATACGCCACCCACAAACAGTTGGAACACCCTTTGGGGCTCTGGACTTGAAAGCGTACAAGTAGACGACTTATCTTCTAGAATCTTTTTTGCTTCCAAAACGGCTCTCTAAAGAGGTGATGAAAGTTAGTCTTCAAGTAGCATGGATGCAGAGAACAAACCTGGTTGGCAGGTGTTGGCGTAATAAATCCATCAGTGGTATAGAATCCTGAAAGAGCACACCTGTTGTTCTATTTTACTGGATTTCAATACCTAACGACGCCATACCGATTCTCAGTTTCTTCTGTGAAGAAAACATTTCCTCTTGCCAAACAACTGGCGGTACGTATGGATCCATTTCATATAAATAGAGATCCGACCATGCCTGTAATTCGTTGAGGGTCATCCTAGAAAAATGCTGGCTTCTCCTAGTGTTTTGAAAAGTCGTGATTACGATGCTGGAAGGCCGCGTTTTGGGGATGTCATTGGTGGAAGAACGCTGAGAGCAGGATCAGCTGTCCTTCTGGACAGTTGCAACGGAGTGGGGAGGGGGCTCGTATTTGGGTTCGTTCAGGGCTATTCAGATTTCCGAGAGGTGTGAAGTAAGTCATGGCTGTGACTGTTTAGAAGCTTAAGAAGTAGTGGTCTTGAGGTAGGGATGGTTTTTGATAGGTCTCAAAGAAACCTTCGAAAAAGGCAGTTTCTGTGGGAAATTGGGGGGGGGAGGATGGTTGAGGTGTGTCGAGAGGTCACAGAATCCTTCAGTCAAGGTGGAGGGGTGAGGGGGGAGGGCGAATAGGGGTCTGTTTGAGCAAGGATCAAAATTTTTCTGTAATATTTTCGAAAAAGAAGAATGTCACGGTGAAACCTGGATGGGAGGCGGACTCATAACACCCCCTGCACACACAATGATAGCTGTCCAACCATCGCAATCGCTGCTTTGAGGTCATTTTCTCCTTACCATTTTGAGGTATTCAATGCAAGTGTTGATGCTCTTCGCCATCGGACCTTCGTTGGCAGTGACCAGCTGGCGGCCAGGTACTGAAGAGCTGGAGAATGTGTGCGAGAAGCGAGTTGAAGATGACTGAAAATATGTTATTATCAGCAGCTTACATAATATGGCTGTACTGCTATGTATTAGCCTTCAGTGTGGATCCTCAACGACATCAAATTCCAGATTTTCTTGAAAAGCTTCTCTTTTAGAAGCTAAAGGAAGGGCCCGATTTCAAAAGTGCAAAGAGCGCTTTTAGCCTCACACTACATCTACTTGAAGCAACAACCCCAGATGAGGTGGTGTCGCAGAAATCTACGCTTTGAGTGGTATAGCCCGCGAGCATCACAGAGTTGCCGTTGTCGCGGCTCGAAAGTGCGCTACAATGGCGCTAGGGCCTTACAAAGTGATCTGATGGCGACTAATGTGAACTACGG